GTCATGTTGAACCGAGAAGAAGCAATAGTGTGCACATTGATCCACCAGCCAGTTTATGAGTGAGTTTATGACCGCTAAGCGAGGGGACCCAGGCACGGATGTGTTTTTCCAAGCCAGAATATGCATGGGGGACTGTTGTCTGAAGAAATGCCGTAGCAATGGATGTTAGGTTAGATTTCCAGTGCCCGAAGTAGAACATTTTGCAGGTATCCAGGGTGATGTTGCAAAAGAGCCATTGCTCTGTGCCTGAACTTTCTTCCCTGGCACAAACAGCCAGGTACCTGATGAAGGAGTGACACGTGGAGTGGAGTGGTCCTTTCTGCGTTCCTTGCATTCCTGGTGGCTCTGGGTCCTGGCTGCATGCCAGATTGTCCTAGTCAGTTATAGTTGGAACTGACTGACTGTGACATTTCTTTAGCCAAAAAATCTCCAAGAGGCCACAGGTCCAGTGCCCGATGAGGGTAGCTGTCTGCTTCCAAGATGGCGCCCTTGCTGCATCCTCACATGGCAGGAGGGGCCAGAAGAAGCAAACTCACACCCTGAAGCCCTCTCTCAAGGGCATTCATTCCGTCCACGAAGGTCGCACCCTCAGGTTCTAATCACTTCCCAAAGGCCCCTCTAATTATGCCCTTTATATTTTGCTTGCGCGATGTTGTATCTACTTTGCACTTTCGATGGCCCGGCACTTGGGATCCAAGATGGCCATAGTTAGAGTGGACTGAGCCTCTAGATTCTTCTGGGCCATTCCAGTCTGCTAGGGGCTATCCAAAATGATAGGAGTTGCATCAGCCTCTCAAGGTCGTGACTTCATACCAGTGCTCTTAATTATCAGACATATTCCTTCACACTCAAACCTTAACTGGTGAACTGCTAAGTCCTTTTGTCCCGCCAGACTTACAGGAATTGCATTCTGTTTGGTAACAATAATTTCCTTGTTTATACTTCAATATATGTTTACACTGATATAGTATTTATCATCAGTCCTTTCATACCAGACATCCTATCTCAGCTGTTCTTTATTACAACTTATATATAGTTGACTGGGTGACCTCTTCAGGAACCTGTTTAGGAAGAGTATCTTGGGGCTTTATTTCCTGATTTTATGGATGTTTGAGTATACCTTTACATTGCCTTTAAAACCAAATAACTTGACTAGGAATATAATTTTTGGGTTATATCTGTTACCAAATCTAAATATTTAGGATTTAGGAATGTGATGATCACAATTATAGTAGATATGCATTAAGTGTTCGACTATTCTGAGCTCTAATATTCCTTAGAGGTTATCGTACGTACTGATGTTTTCACTTTGCTTACCAAATTTCATCCAGTTACTAAACGGTGTTTGAACTTAAACAGTATTGCTTCAAATTCTATACTCTTAACTTCCTGTTCCACCTCTCCTGGTAACCTAAAATGTTTAACTTTGTAAGCTTGAGCATGTTATTAAACTTCTTTATGCCTCAGTTAACTCTCTATAAAATGAGAATAATAATACTTCCAAAAATTGCTTTGACGATTAAAGAAGTTAAAACATTTGAATAGCTCATGACAATGCCTGGCACATAGTAAGTGCTTAATAATTGTCTTTTATTTTTGTTGTCTTCATCTTATGAATAATAAGTTGCAGATCTGAGCTTTGAACAATCTGGCCTCGGTAACTGTGCCACTCAACACTATAGTATAGTATCAACAAATAAGATGGCATTTTAATTTAGTGGAAAAATGAAGGATTATTCAATGAACAGTGTGGGGACATAGGAGATACTCATGAATACTTGCTGAATGAATGAGAGTTTTGTAAAAGTATAAATACACTCAACAAATATTAACAAATAGTTATTAAGCACCATCTAAGTCTGTACAGACAGACTGGGAATATTTTAGTCTGTTCCTACTACAATGACAAAAATACCTTAAATTAGGTAATTTATAAAAAACAGAAATTATTTTCTCAGTATTCTGGGCCTGGAAGTCCAAGATCAAGGTGCCACAGGTTCGGTGCCTGATAAGGGCAGCTGTCTGCTTCCTCACATGGCAGAGGGGGCCAGAAGAACCAAACTCACTCCCTGAAACCCTCTTCTAAGGGCGTCCATTCCATCCATGAAGGCAGCACCCTCGAGGTCTAATCGCTTCCCAAAGGCCCCACCTCCTAATACCGTTGCCTCGAAGATTAAGTTTCAAGATGAATTTTGGAAGTGACACAAACCCTCAGACCAGGAAGAAAACACAAAAATGAGAATAGATGTATAGTAATGAAATTGTAGCTTGTTTTGAATTTCCTTAATTTGTCACAAAATTTCTCTAATAATACAAGTCATGAAATAATTTGACCAGATAATCGTAAATTATCATACGTATTAAGTTTGAGGTAGCTATAGAGAGATGATTGCAAGGTCAGAACTCAGGAGGAGATTTGGGGACCATCAGAAAAGACGATGAGACTACCCACAAAGTGTGTATGGTGGAACACCACATAGAAGGAAGAATGGTTGGCCAAGGGACCTTAAAAGGAACTGCGGGGAAGACAGGTGGAGAGTCAGGAGAGAGGTGCTGAAACAGGAAGCAACGGCAGGTGGGGGAGAAACCCATGGCAGATGATTCGGGCAGTTGAGGAAGAAGCCACACACAGCACTCAGGACTGAAGGAGTCTTTTGTGTTGTTAACCCAACTAGTAAGAACAGTGCACATGCAAGTCAAGTGATGTAGACGGAGGAGGAAGGGAAGTTAGGGAGAGAGCGAACGTGGAGATGACTTTCCTAACTTCGTTTAATGACCAAAACAAGGGATGAGTTCAGGGAGGCTCTAGAGTGAGAACTCATTCCTTTTTCTGTTTGTTTTGATGCTTGAATTTTGGGGAATGGAAAAGCAACGAGAAAGCAAGACATCATCGGGCAAGGAGAGACTCGAGTTGTTAGGAGAGAAAGGAGGAAATTGCCAGAGCAAGATTTGAAGGCAGGTGGGAAGGACTGGTTTCACAAGCATAGGCAGAGACCGCTGGAAGGGAGGATCTTCTCTGAGATGCTGAAGAAAGGGATGCTGCTGACAATCATTTAAGAAGTAGAAATAAGACGAGTGAGACCATTCCTGCAGCTGTTGTTTCGATCAGACTTTTTCAGGAGATTTGTGACCTCAGAGCAGAGAGTAGGAGAGCCTCCCTTCAACCATCAGTTACATCTCTGTGTACTATTTGCTTAAGTTTGTTTTCTGGATAGGGTTTTCTATTTTCTATTTCTCTCTATTTCCTGTTCTGTCTTATGAGACCAATGTAGGGTCCGGATGGATGGATGGATGGATGGATGGATGGATGGATGGATGGATGGATGGATGGATGGATGGATGGATGGATAAATGGATGGATGAATGGATGAGACAACAGATAGAGAGACAGATAGTAGATGGATGGATGGATTCGATAGATAGATAGATAGATAGATAGATAGATGGATGATAGACTGGCTTACAAATGCTTAGCTCCCCTAGTCATTCCTGTAGCCTGAATATATAATTTGTGATAAATCAATCAGAGTAAAATTAGAAAGTAGCACGCAGTCCACCCAGCTAAGCTCCGGTAGGGCTGACAGCATGTGCACAAGGGTAGCATAAATATGAAGCTTCATGATGACCCTTTATGAGGGAAAAGCCCAGCTCCCGGGACTCCCAGACAGGACAGCAAAGGCTAGTGTGTGAGTGCACAGAACATGAGTCTGTGGTATCTGTGTTTTTCCAAAAAGCGCCCCCAGGCCAAGCGTCACTTTGTTGCTGGCCATCACTCAGACACAGCCTTTTTAGCCTTTTTCCTTTCTCCCTTCACCCTTTGGGCATCCTCTTGCCCCCCTGCCTGATTCAGCACATGTCTAAGATGCCTCTGTGTTCCGTGACCACAAACTTTGACCAGAGGTGTGATTCCGATTTCAATGTTAACTCATGTGAAATACCACGGAAATTCCGCGATCTTTTCAAATTATTTGTATGCTTAAGAAGTATAAGCAGGCAGATGATATTAAAAGACTCACCGTTTGTTTTTTAAAAATTTACTGGAGAAAGGTAGTGCCAAAAAAAGGGAAATTCTTCAATTGATTTATGTTCACGTGCTTAAGCTGAATTTTTCTTCATTTTTGTTTAATCTAAATAAATCAGAGTATTCTATGTCATATTAAGTAAAACACTTGTGGTTTAAAAATCATCTTTGTTGAATACTAAATACATAGCGTAGACCTTTTTAAAGATAAAGGTAATTTTCTTTATGTAAAATGACCCAGCTTTTGATGGGTTTTATACATATATCTCTTCTACGATTCTTCTCTCTTTCATTGAACGCTTCTTTCTGTTTCAAATTGGTCTTCCTTTACCATTATTTCTATTCACAAGATTTTCTAATTTGTGGTCAAAATAAACCAGGCATTAAATGTAGTACAGTAAGTGACTTTTTTTTTTTTTTTTTTGCATACTATTCACAAGCATTAGGCCCTTTAAGAGAGAACTAGCTCCAGGGTTTTCTAGTAGAACTAAGCAGATAGATTTTTTTTTTAGGGTCTATTCCCGAGACTTCTTTAATTCTTTAGTCTGTATCTGTCTTCTTGAAGGCATAGGTGTCAGAAGCAAAAGGTTTTACTAGCACTTAACTGCCTTATGCAAGCAATGCTATCAGCAGCATGTAGCTGGTCTTGGAATGACAGAAGGTCTCAGGCAACCTGATACGGACACCATCAAGAAGATGCACAGAAATCTTGTACCAAAGATTTCTGAAGGAGTCCTAGGATTGCCTGTGAAACTCTGTTTGCCTCACCTGGATTCCGGAAAGCACAGGTGGAGTATGGAGCAAGTTCATGGGATCACTGACTTAGCCTCGCCAAGCAGGAGTCAGCTGAGAGAGTTGTGCACTTACTGATACGTCCTGTGCACTTACTGATACGTCCTTTATTTCAGTTGTCACTGCATAGAATTTCCTCCAGTCTTTAGACCACTGTAAATAATTTTCTTTTTTTTTTTCTTTTTAGGGCAGCATAACTATTTATGTGCTGGAAGAAATGATTGCATTGTTGATAAAATACGCAGAAAAAACTGCCCAGCATGTCGCCTTAGAAAGTGCTGTCAGGCTGGCATGGTCCTTGGAGGTAATTCTGATGTTTTTTATCAATAATATGCTGCCTGATATTTACACTGTAAGACCGTGAGACAATTTTAACGTTCTTATCCGCCTTCATTCTTGCTTTGTTTTGTCTGTCTTGATTACCGGCGGTGACTCTTCACATTTAAGTGTCTGAACAAAGCCACCAATGCCATGTCACTAACTTTATAGATTTCCAGCATGTTGAGGTCTGTTGCGAGAAACAAGAAAACCCCATTTGTCTGTACTGCCGATGAGTAGATGCTGTGGTTTGTGCACTGACCTGTCATCAAGTAGTGTGAGTTGACGTCTGGGCTCTGCCACTCACCTCCCGTGTGGCCTGGCATAGGTCGCCAGCCCTTTCTGGACATCAGTCTCCTTATCTGTAACATGAGGGCACTGGAGTCCCTTCCAGCTCAGAAACTGAATCTGCAAAGTGGCCAGATACATTGCTCTCCAGCTCCTCTAAGCTGACCAAAGCAGGTCAGATGGGGTAGGAACCCATTTGATGGAGAGTCGTTAGGTTATTTGAACTCTCCCCATAGTTGTGTTATTGCTGGAACCACTAAAACTTTCAGTAATATAGCAGACATTTAAAAATTGGCATGAGATGGTGACAGTGGTTCGAATGAAAATGAAACAGTGAAGGAAATCCAGAGAGCCAGAGTTACGGAAGACAGTCCTACTCCCTTCCGTGTTTTGGTTGTTTTTGTTTTTAACTTAGCCACGTCCTACATAGCAATGTCTGAGAATCGGTCTTGTTCTATCTTGATATAACTTATAGAAAACATAATCAGATATGTACATAATTGTCAAAGCTAAAACATTTCTTCAGTGCACCATCTATAAACAGCTTGTGTTCCATCGATGATACATATTTTTTCCTTTGGGAAATGTATTTAGATCAATATTTTTCAAATGTAATGGCTACCCAAACGTTACCTCCTCTCTAAAACATTTACCAGCATGCCCAGACAAAATTAATCAACCTGGCAACACACTGGGCACATTATATTAACTGACTTAATTATATCACTCATAGTATTTTATAATTTCTTGGTTAGAGATTTGTTTTCCCTAAACTGAGGGCAGTGACCAGGTCGACAACTGGGCCTGGCTTAGGTCGTCTCACTCAAGATCTGCTCACTAAGCAGACCTCCACTCTCAGCAGATTCACATTGTTTTGGGGTCCCATGCCTCGATGGCCTCCTTTTATATTTCCACTTTGCCTTCAGCAGTCTTTGGGCGCCTCCTAAATTTTAAACCTTAGGACTTTCTCACACGATCACTCACCTAGTTGATGTTGGAGCCAGAAGAAACACGCAGAGGTGTTCTGACTCCTGGGACACCATCATTTTCTCCACCACGTGCTTTGAAAATGGCGGAGCTTCAAAGGCTGAAGCCGAGATGCCATCAGGATCTTCCCGTGTGAATGTTCTCCGAGTAGCTTTAACTCTTCAGTTTTATCACAGAATAGAAACGACAGAGTTCAGGATAGAGCCTTCTGAGTGCTTCTGGGGATCGATGGTGCAGCCTAGAGAATTTTGTGTCATACTATTCTAGGTCTTTAGCTGATCATTCAGGTAGCTCTTATCTTTTATCATCTTTCCTCTCCAAACTCCGTGTGTTCCTTTAGTCTGCTATTCTGGTGCCTCCAAAACACTCTACAGCCTTCACAGTTATATTTCTATACTTTCTATATTATTTATTTGCACTAACTCTAATTCCTTCCTTCCTTCCTCTTCCCTCCTTCTCTCCTTCCTTCTTTCCTCTTTTCCTTCCCCTTCCCTCTTCTGTTCTCTATTCTTCTCTTCTCTCTCACTTTCTACTTCCCTCCCCCACTGTTTTTCAACAACTATGTTTTAAACCTCACTACTACTTAGCAGGTACTGGCCTAAGTTCTGGGAATATAACAGCAAACAGAGTGGACTAAACTGCTTTCGTAGAGCCTGCGCTCTGGTAGGGGAACAACAGATAGAAGCATGTCAAATGAGGACAAGTGCTGTGGAAAAGCATTAAACAGCGTGAGTTAATAGGAAGCGTCAGAGAGAGTAATCATCCTGAACCCTCCACTCTGATTAATATTTTTATTCCATGTAGCCCTTCCTAAGCAATAATATCGCTGAGATCATGGGCTTGAGGTGCTAGTTATAATTTTTCTGAAAGACATTAAAATCAATTCTTAACTATTTACATGTATATTTAATGCCCCCCCCCCAAAGCAGCTCATGTACCCTGTAGATGTTATGTGTTGAGCTCCGGAAAGGGGATGTTAGGCCTCTATTTTCTGAGTGTCCAATGTTAAGCACCCTTAGTGCTATCATTGTGGCCTTTGGGCACAATACCGTCTCACCCCTACTAAAACAATGATAAAGCAGAGGGGTCAGTGGCCCGAGGGAGGTGTAGCCATTGCTCTGCAAATAAAGAACGGGAAAGAATGAATTCTGTTGGGGAGAGAGGGCAGAGCCGCAGGAAGGAGGCTCGCTGGTAAGAATGGAAATTTTACAAGTGGAAAGGAGAAAGGTGTTCACGGTGAAAAGAGTGTGAGTCTGAGAAAAACACGACACATCCCAGTGATGATGTTTCTGGGAAGTACGTAATTTGGCGGCAAAGGGAAGAAATGAAGCTTGACAGTCGGCTTGGGCTTGGCAGTTGACGTTCCGTCCTGCAGGCAGCGGCACCAGCGGTCTCCATCATCTGTGGAATAAGATCCAGCTCCCCAAATGTGGGTCGTGGAGCCTCTCAACCCCTGGCAGTTGCCCTCTCTTTAAAGCCCACCGCTCAGCAGGCCTTTGTGACTCCTGTGGTGCTGGTCACCTGCTTTCACCTGTCCTTGCACGTATGTCAATTGCATCTACACCACTGTCCCAATCCTGATGAATGCTTACTTACCCTTCATACTTGCTGCAAGTGGGACGTTTTCCTGTGAAACCTTCCCCCCGCCGAATGCAGGGTTTTCCTATCTGGGGCAGTGGAAGCCCTTGAGCCAGCTGGATGGGAGCCGGCCCAACTGTTCTTATCTCAGCATTCCCTACTCCTGTGGTGGACAGGGCCAGCTGGACCGTGGTGGGTGCCACCAGGCACCCCAGGACAGTGCAGTCACTCTCTCCCTCTCTGCCATTCTGCACACCTTCACTGTGGGACTTAACTCGTTTCTTTATAACTCATTGCTTTATAACTGTGTACTAATATCCCGCTCCAGAATTTTCTCCCATTCCGAGATTGAATTATTGGCAAGTAAGAATTTCATTTTAGTGTTTTCAGCACCAAAGCCCTTGTTTACGAAGTGTTCACTGGGTTGTCACTCAGGCTGGAGTGCAGTGGCAGGATCACAGCTCACCGCAGCCTCAACCTCCCGGGCTCAAGCAATCCTTCCTCCTCAGCCTCCTGTATAGCCGGGACTACAGGCACATGCCACCATGCCCGGCTAATTTTTAAATTTTTTGTAGAGACGAGGACTCACTATGGTGCTCAGGCTGGTCTTGAATTCCTAGGGTCAAGCCGTCCTCCCACCTTGGCTCTCAAAGTGGTGGAATTACAGGCATGTCACCTCTTTGTGCTTTCTAAAACTTAAAGACCATCTCTAGCGATTTCCAGGATGCAGAAAGAGTGTTTGGAGGAGGAGGAAAATGGGGTGTTGGTCTAACGTAAGACTTTTCATTTGGGGAAAAGTGGTAGGCCTTGAAGCAGCCTTGCGTTCTATGATTGTATTTATTTTAATGTTCTTTTTGTTATAATGAAAAAGTGTTTTTAGAAGATCAAAGCAAGAGAAACTGGCGTTCATTCAAGGGAGAGACTTGAGTTCCAGCCAACGACAAGCCAGGAATTCAGTAAGAAATAGAGTAACAAGGAGGACATTGCTTCAGAGACGACCCAAAGCTGGGAAGAAAGACAGGGGAGTCCATTCCAGGAACATGGACTCAAGTGGCATCAGAGCAGTGTCAGTAGCAGGCTCAGCTTGGTGCAAAGCATTGGCGCTCAGTACGGTCTGTTTATATTTCTTCTGCTTTAGAGACAAATTGGTTCCAAGATAGGGTGAAACTCAATTCAGAGCTAAATTCCCCAAGCCTCAGAGATTAGAGAGAGAAATAAGCAGAAATATAGCAGCGTTATCATGGTTCAGGATTCATTCGTTCCAAATTTTGTGGTGCTTTTGTGACTTTCCCATGGTTCCCTGTTGCCAACTTGTTCCCCAGTTCTCATGAAGTCTTAGGGTTTTCTCTCTTTACAGAATCGACTTCACTCAGGGAACCACCTTGTATGTCTGGTGACTATACAATTTTTTGTCAAAATAGGACACTTCTGAGAATGAAAGGGAGCACTGTCAGTAATTAAACTGGGACAGCAGTTGTAAACAGGGACCGTCCCAGGCTAATTGGCCTGTGATCAAGCCTTCCATTCTCAGCTTAAAGATGAAAATGTGTTCTGGCCAAAACAAGTTCATAAACTTATGGGGATGTGGATGAAATAGCCAAATCTTTACTTGTATGATATCTAATACACAGTTTTAGTTAGACATCCATATTTAAGTTGAATAGAATGTGCTGATTTAGAAGTATGACTTTTCTATTTTCACCTCTCGTGAATAATTTTCTTCTAACTACTTTCATGCTCCTTTGGCCTCAGGGTCTATGGCTTCCCAAGAGTCACTTTTTACATCATGTTCTAGAGTTTGCCATCATTTTTATCTAAAATGTTTGATGTGTAACACTTTTTGGATACATGTATAGAACTGTAATTGGAAATTTATCATAAGCCAAAAATACTCCTATGCATAAGTTTTAATATTCATCCTGTGAAAGCTTTCTGTGACTCCCTATAATTTAACAACTTGCTGTGTCATTGAGCCATGAACTATATACCAAGGCTGCCAAGAATATTTAAAATGAGTACCTTTTAAGGCACCTGTGTCTGCATTAGTCAGCTTTTGGTAGCGGACCCTTTTTTTATATTTTCTTCATTTTTGTTATATCTTATAAGGAATGAGTCATTGCAGATACTTTAAAG